ACATCCCCCACCGGGGATGTGCCCGCAACTCAGGTACATGCCCTTGGCCGGAATCGAACCTGGGACCTGTCAGTCCGCAGGCCGACGCTCTGTCCACTGAGCCAAACCGGTTTCGGCCAGCAGAAATATTTTTAAATACCTATGTACTCAGCTTTCATTTTTTATAGCTGCATAGTATTCCTTTATGGATGTACCATTATTTAACCAATTCCCTACTGACAGACATTTAGGTTGGTTCCAATTTCTTTTTACATATACTGCTGAGACAGATTAACTTTATAGATATGTTGCTGTACTCAAGTACATGTTAAGATAAATTCCTGGAATTAGATCTGAGGGTTCACGCATTAGTAATTTTGACAGATACTAATTGTCCTCCATATCAATGTACAGCCCAATCAGAATATATGAAAACGGCCCATTTATCATCGTGTTTGTATGATACTAAATCACTATGGCCCTTTCTGTGAATCAAATATATCAGGGTTAAATGACTGCCAAGGACTTCCTAAGTTATTCACTGAAAAGAGGTTAAGATTATGTTCCCCTTTGGTGAAGGTGGGGCAGGGGTGTTGGATTGACTAGGATGGGTTACAGAGCAGGGCGCTGGTTACATGTGCCAATGTACTCAGTTCCAAATCCACCTTCTCTGCCCAACATTGTGACACTGAATGGACCCTGTAAACACTTTCCTTTGGGACATGGGCCTTTTCAAACGAGGGCACTGCAGTGACACTGCCAGGCTATCGTCAGGAAGGCCTCCTCCACGTTCCAGCCTCCTTGGTGACCGTTTGGTACCGGCACCCAGCAGCTCCGTGCAGGTGTCCAGTTGTACCTCAGGCTTCTCCCCCGACCAGCAAGGCTCCTACAGACCAGCTCCAGCCTGCCCTATCCCGTTCTCCTTACTCCTCACAGTTCCCGTGGTAGCCACACCCTCTTTACAGTTCCAGTGGTAGCCACACCCTCTTCAAAGGATCTGAATCTTGGCTTTGGGGGAGAGGGGCAGAGGCCTTCTTTTAGGCAGTTGTTTCCTTATTGTCTACTCTCCCTCAGCGTAGAGACAACAGCTTTCATTGCCCCTACTTTTCTTTATTAAAGTCTTCTTTTACTGCCTTTAGTATTTACTTACCAGACAATTCCTTATATTACATTTTCCCTGTTCAAATAGCGTGATTTCTCTCCTGACATATTACATGTGATCATTTTGCAAAAATACATCAAGATTTGCACTTTAAAATCGTGCACTTTTCCAGGTCTTATTTTTGGTGTGCAATTATCTGAATTGATAGATACATTTGGATACTGATAAATGAGTATCAGAAGGCCGTGGAGATGTTACCTCTCAGTTTCTGTAATAGGTTCTTGCTAACATTAAACGAGACAGTCCTATTTAAGAAGGGCACATCTTCTACTGGCTCGAAATATTCCAAGATGGCCCATGAGTTTGGTTCATTTGTGGAATATAGTAAAAAGTAAAGAAATTCCCACTCTCGCCTCAGCCAGTGTGGCATCCTGTGCACTGGTAGGTCATGGGTTTGATTCCCGGTCAGGGCACATACAGGAGGCAGCCAACTGGTGTATCTCTTTCTCCCTTTGTAAAAAAAATAAAAAAAAAATTCTCACTGTATGTATTTAACGTTCTTGTGGTGGTAATACCACGGTAAGACTTAGATGTTTGTGTTAAGACTGAACATCTCAAAGCAGGCTCATTCCTCATTTTACCCCAGGGCCCAGGTACCTGCTCAACAAGTATCTGATAAAGTAGTACACGCTGATTATCCTACAACCACTCAGCTGCAAACCTTCCCTCTGCTCAGGGTATTTGGTCCAGGAAGTTAACAAAACCTTTCATCACTCCAGTTCCAATGGGTGTTTGGGGTAGCGGGTAGTAGAGGAGGTAACCTAGACAAAGGGTTATAGGCAAACAAACCTCTGCTTAAATTGGCACAGATTTAGTTTCTCTGCCTATCAAACTGTCCTTAAATGTTACCGCCCAATAAGGTAGGAGACAGATCTCAATCTTCACTAGAGGCCTGGTGCATGAAATTCATGCATGGATGGGGTCCCTAGGCCTGGCCTGCGATCAGGACCTATTGGGGCCTTCTTGCTCAGTCCCGATAGGAGCTGGGCTGGCCAGGGGGAGGGACCGGGGAAGGTTGGCTGGCTGTGGGAGTGCACTGACCACCAGGGGGCAGCTCCTGTGTTGAATGTCTGCCCCCTGGAGGTCAGTGCACATCATAGCGACTGGTCAACTTTTTCTGGTCATTCGGTTGTAACAGTCATTTAGACTCTCATATATATAGATTTTATTGATAAGGAAACTGATGGTTTTTCTAAGGTAAAAGTAACTTGTGCTACAACTAATTTAAAGTATCAGCTTGAGTATGCATCCAGGACTGTCCAACTATGCTGTTTCTCCTCTACTAGTATTAATAAAGTGACCTAGAGACAAAACAATGCCCATGGATGGAAGGGTCTGTATTTGATGTCCTCATTCTAGAAGATTCTCACCTTCTAGAATGAAACTGAAGTTCTTATTATCTCCGGAAACAAATTGTGTGTGCTTCCAATTCACTTAAATATACTTTAAGCTATCCCATGGCATGAGACTACCCAGATTTTGTCTAGTTGCTTGTCTAATCATAGTCCACGTAGCTCTGGAGGTAGGTAAGAGGTGATACATTAAAAATATTAGAACATATTTAACATTTAAGCTAGCTTAAAAAATTATGACAAATTCCTCTAATAATTTCTTTAAAAATTCAGATTTTTACTAAAAGAAAAATCTAACTACTGTGTCTATAACTATTATTTAGAAAAAGAATTACATAGGTACAGAATTAATAATATTTTGGCAGTTGTTCAACAAAGTACACCTAGAGAACAGAAATATTCTTTATTTACCCTAATCCAGCCAGTATTGAGATCGTCTATATTAAAAACAAGATGTTTAAAAAAATTACAGCAGTTAGCATGGCAGTGACTAATTAAGTCACTAAGTTTAATTATAAATTCTTCACAGTCATTTGGTAATCATGTAATGATGAACAATATTTTCAGCCACTTTGGAGATAAGTTAATTTCTGCAAAGAATTCTACTAGTTGTCACTGAATTTCATATAAGAGGTTTAAAACAGTAATTTATAGAAATTACACAGTAAAGCAATGTGAAAATTGAAAAACACAAAATATACCCACCTATCCCCAAAGTCTACAGCATCCGTTTAATCTGTCCCCCAATGCCTGCCTTTTATTTCATTCCCTCTTCCTAGAGAGTGAACAGACTATTTAGCAATTAAGAATGGCTGCTCTATAGGTGCTATTTCAAGCCTAAAGTGCCTGTTCCTTTCATTTCTCTTACTCCTAGAAATACCTTTTGAGGATGAGTATTACTTTCATTTCAGTGATGAAGAAAACTGTAGCTGAGAGAAAGATAAGTCATTTGGCCAAGGTCAAGTTATTAAAAGCAGAATTAGCATTTGAACCAGGTCTACCCAACATGAGTCAGCTCATGCTTTTGTTGCTTCATGGCAGTGCAGGCCACCTTGCTAAAGGGAATAGGACATGGTACTTCTCAAGCTAATAAGGCTCTTTAGATTTAAGTGCTTAATTCCAGGGCTAGAGGTCACTCTTGGTCCCCAGGCACTTGCAATTCCCTCCCCACAGCCCTAGAAACCCCACTTCCCTGTGCCCAAAAGATTAGTTATTTCTCTAACCCTCACAAGCCCTAATGCCAATAAGACTAAGCAGCTACTTCCCCAATTTTGACATTAAAGTAGTAAATGGGGCACTGTGTGCTTTTATAATTTTAGTAAAGGCTGCCTAAAAACTGTTCTATATAACAAAATTATTCAGGAAATATCTAGTGTCTTTTTACCTTAAAAACGAAAGAAAAGCCAATATATTTTATAATCATAGTTACGTAATCTAAGTTACTTTTATATATAATCATAGATTTTTATTTCCCATTCAGAACTATAGCAGTGTTCTTAATAAGGCCCACTGTCAGTCAAATATTCCCTTCCTCCCCAAAGAATGACAACTTTGAATGTTCAATAGCCATTCACATCAACTTCATATTATAACTCGAAACATTCATACTATAAAGATTCCAGTTTTAAATTACCAAAGTTAACATACATTATTGCAGTCTAATAGAGCTCAATGTCTATTTGCTACACTTCTAAAGAGAAGTGGCCACTCACTCCTCAGTAAGAGGAAATTTATCATCATCATGCATTAGATACTGTAAACAAGAAAGTAAACAGGGTTTTTAGAACTAACTTTTAAAAACTTAATTAATGAAAATAACTGCAAAATCATTCAGATTGCTGAGTAACATTAAAAGGGCCACTATTAAAAATGGCTTAAAATAAATAATTGCTTCTTAAAAATTAATATAAAACTAGATAAACAGTGATTATTAAGATACTACCCTCATCAATATGACAAGCAATTAAAATCTAAAAACATTAGTATTGGTTTTAAAAATAATAAAATAAATTGTCTTAAGCCAAAACCAATGACCTCAATACTTACTCAAGACTTATTTTCATAATTATCTCCTCACTGACTGGTGTAAAAACAAAGAGCTCCAGGCCTCACCTTGGTTCACCACTGTTGGTTTTCTCTATGTTGAAATTAGACCGTAAACTATATAGAACCAAGTCTGTCGTGTTCACCATTGTATCCCACAACACTCAGCATAGTGCCTGGGAAACAGGAGGTGATCAGCAAATACCTGAATAACTGAATCAATGGAAGAGAAGAGTAAAATAACTTTATTGAATTTTTTGCAAATCGTCCTCTATGCTCAAACTACTATAATCTGGCAGCTCTAATTTCTAGAAATATGGATTTAAAAACCTTACTCCAGTGATGGAAGGACCTGTCACCTCTCTCTCTCTCTCACACACACACACACACACACACATACATACACACACAGTAATTAAGACTGCATGAGTCAAAATTACATTTATAGAACTATGAGATGTCAACATTATATAAATAATATTTAATAGTGAAAAAGTGATCTGGAAGCCCTGTGAACTTTTACCTTACACATTTTGGAGGACATCACATGGGTTAAAAAAAAAACAACAAAATCGCATTTGTTCAGATAATCATTTAAATGTTTACATACATTTTTGGTTTGTTATTTATTTATAAGTAATTTAATTTACATTTCCTCATATTAACATGTACTCCTGTTTACAACATGTAATCAAATTATGCCAGTGAGAAAAGTCCTCAGTACCTTCATTGAGTTGCCAATTCTAAGAAAACACTGAACATGAACATGTACAAAAGAGGCCTTTGAGTAAAACAGCATGTGCATTCAATATTTGCACAGGTTGATCCTTACATTTCTGTCTGAAGAAAATATGAACAAAGCCAGGTTTCCCATGCTAATGTAATGGTTCAGACGACTACCATAAAAGAAGTACATACAGAATAATGAGAACGAATCACATCCTTAGGTTCCGTGATTACTGAGAGGAGTTCTCCGGCCCTAAGTGCTTTCTTTATTTTATTTCTTAAAAATACGAGAGCAGCAGCTTATCACAAGTCTCCACTATTGTGCATTAATGATGGAATCAAAACAACACAACAGACTCATAAGGATGAGAGGTCTGCAGAACGATAGGAAGTCACAGTTTTATGCTTCTTCTTGCTCTGGATAATTTAGAATTTTGCGATGTGCCTGACGTAAATATTGCTGCTGTTTGAAGTAAACCTTGAATGCTCCTTTTATGGCAACAAAAGCAATTCCACCCTAAAATAAAAAGGAAAATTAGCTTTTTCTAATGCACATTTAGAGAAACAAAATAAAAATAAATTTACTGAGGTAGCTACCATTACTATCTTTATTCTACAGGCACAGAGAAGTCAAGAAACTTGTTTCTCAGCAAGACAGTATCTGTGATAGGGTTGAACCAGGCAGCCTGACCAAGAGCAGAAGCTCTTCACCAGAACCTCGCTGCAAGAGGGATGGTGTGAGGATTCCTGCATAGTCCGGGAGAGAAGTCACCCACAGCACAGTTCTGGAAGGCCAGCGCTACTGCCGTGGACTCTTTCCATTCTACTGCTATTACATGACCGTGAGGGTCAAATTAAGGAGCCCCAGAATATTTATATAGTCTCATTTGTTTTTTAAAAACAACAACAAATATACAATTCATTCTCTTTCGTATAGTTACTTTAAAAAGGTAATATTAAAGCCATCTTACCAAGATTGTCCTTTGTAAATTAGAGTTAACACTACTGAACATCAGTTTACCGACTATGGTCGCAATAGTAGGAAAGACAAGGGCTCCGCATAAAATCCGGGTGGCAGAGACGTGATCTGCTAAAGGATTGGCCTCGGCTGGAATCCGAGGAACAGGACAGCCAATCCCTAGAGGGGAAAGAATGCAAGGTGTAAGTGCCAAAAAATTAGCATAGCGAAAATACTTTTGTATACAGGGTTTCTCCATAGGATTAATTTGGCATGCTTGTTACCACCACAATTCAGGGCCTTACCTGGAAATATACTGTTCAAAATTTGTAGTTTATTTGAGTATTTGCGCCATAGTCTAAGCACATAATCCTCCCAGCGAATCATCTTGCCTAATATCAGCATGACAGGAATAGTAGGAAGTCCAATTAAAAGGAATAAAGGATCAGCTCTCTCCATAACATCCAGACCTTCTTTATGGCCTACAACCTGTGAAACAGACAGCATTTGCTAGAATCATTTCCTTAGCTAATGAAGGGATGTGGCATGCTCGAGCTCAATTCATTTTAGAGGAAATGCTAAATGTCTAAAGAATACAGAAATAAAAAGCTTAAAAAATAAGATGGAAAGCTATCAGTCTGGATTTATTTATAGTAATTGTCTCGTTCAAGGTGGGGGGGGGGGGCACCTCCCAAGTGATTTCATATTCCATAGCAACAAGTTTTAAAAATGGTTGACCCACATTGATTACATTTGAATGGAGGGAGGGGACTTCTGGTTCTTGCTTCCATTCCTCTTAATTGATTTGGTTTGCCTGGGCTATTTTAGGCTGTATTTGTCTTCTAGCAGAGGATCTGTTTTCCTGTTCTTCCTAACTAGGAGGTAGGCATAGCCAGGCAAGGGGCAGGACCTTAGGACAGTGATGGCAAACCTATGACACACGTGTCAGAGGTGACACACGAACTCATTTTTTTGGTTGATTTTTCTTTGTTAAATGGCATTTAAATATATAAAATAAATATCAAAAATATAAGTCTTTGTTTTACTATAGTTGCAAATATCAAAAAATTTCTATATGTGACACCGCACCAGAGTTAAGTTAGGGTTTTTCAAAATGCTGACACACGGAGCTCAAAAGGTTCGCCATCACTGCCTTAGGAGATAGCCTGAAAACGCACTTCTCTTTGGCTCCTTCTCCCTGCTGGTGATGTCTGGGATAGTGAAATCTCTGTGGTTGGCTAAATGCTTGCTCTCCACACCTAACTCTCCTAAAAATGCAATTCCAAGGTCTAGGTTTGGGGGACTGCTGTAAGGAGTTTTGGCTACAGGTTCCAGTCATTATTTCCAATCTAGAACTTCCAGTGCCCTCTTTATGGGAAATGAAACTAAAACAATACTTCCCATCTCCTCTGGATCTTAGGGCTATTTCTCAATTGGTGTAGATGCCATGGGGCAAGAAGTACATGATTAATTGGCATGTGTGAATCTCCATACTTCCCCTCACAGCAGAATCCTTTCCACTTGCTGATCAATCAGCCTTACACTTCTTTCAACACCAACACTTTGTTGGCGAGCTTATTTTTTTTTTAAAATATATTTTATTGATTTTTTTACAGAGAGAAAGAGAGAGGGACAGAGAGCCAGAAACATCGATGAGAGAGAAACATCGACCAGCCGCCTCCCGCACACCTCCCACTGGGGATGTGCCCGCCACCAAGGCACACGCCCCTAACCGGAATCGAACCTGGGACCCCTCAGTCCGCAGGCAGACGCTCTATCCACTGAGCCAAACCGGTTTGGCGCGAGCTTATTTTTAACTAGACGATTTCCCTGGCAATTCTCTTTTAAAGGTCTCAAATGATGTCCCTTTAGCCAAAATTTTCAATTGCTCACAAATTAAACATATTTATCTGAGGGATTATTCTTGGCAGTTAATAGGGGAAGGAGGGAGACTACTTCAGAAGCCCACCCAGGTAACACACTGTGAGGCCAACAGCCTGATAGGAGGACACTACTGTAAAGGACTCTAGGTAAGTTTTTCTGATCACACTTGAAGAAGAAAGGATCAGAAAGGACTCAGTCTGTATTTTTTTATAGGAAGGAGGGAAAAAGGACAGGCAAAGAGGAAGAGAAAAACAGGTAGGGAGGACTAGAAACTACTCAGAAAAGAAAGCTCATGAGATTTTTTTCAAAACTGACAGGCCCTTTATGTCAGCTATTATAGCACTTTTTTTCAGGTGGACTACAAGATCTGAAATAAAGTCAAGCTGAGAATGATCAGGGAAAATTGAAATTCTGGAAGAGAGTCTCCATCCAGGTAAAAATACTTTATAAAAGTATGTGGAAAGAACCGAAATAGGTGCCTTTAAAATTTCAGTCAGGGATAAACCCCGACTTGCACGTGGTTAAGTTCTCTAAGATATAATATTAAAGGGCAGGAGGCTGGCCTCTTCCAAATGGTCAAAAACCATGGCATCAGTACCTGACACTCTTCAGTGTCTCCAGGTAGAAACTTAGCAACTTCACATCTTGCATGTAAAGGGTGATTGTCTTGAGTTGCTCTAAAATGAAATTGTCTGGCTCGCAATATTTCATAAACCTAATCCAATACTGGCAGCAAAAGTAGATTAGCCAAGAGACCATCTTTATCTATAATGCTTTTCTAGGACATTCCATTTTTATACCATTTTATTATTTTCAATATAATGAACGTGATTTAAATACTCTCAAAGTGTTAGCAAACACGTGAAAATTCGTTTGCTGGGTTATGTATTCTGTTTAGAATTTAGGGTTTAAAACACAAAGCAACTTAACAAAAGGAAGATCAACAATCCAATCAAAAAATGGGCAAAGGACCTAAATAGACACTTTTCAAAAGAGGACATTCAGAAAGCCAAGAGACATACGAAAACATGCTCAAAGTCACTAATCAGCCGAGAGATGTAGATCAAAACAACAACGAGGTACCATCTCACACTGCCAGAATGACTATCAACAACAAATCAACAAATGACAAGTGCTGGAGAGGATGCAGAGGAAAAAGGAACCCTCCTTCATTGCTGGTGGGAATGCAGACTGGTGCAGCCACGGTGAAAAACAGTATGGCGTTTCCTTAAAAAATTAAAAATGGAACTGCCATTTGACCCAGTAATACCACTTCTAGGAATATATACCAAGAAGGCAGAAACACAATTCAGAAAGGATATATTCATCCCTATGTTCATAGCAGCACAATTCACCATAGCTAAGATTTGGAAACAGCCTAAGTGCCCATCAGTAGATGAGTGGATTAGAAAACTGTGGTACATCTACACGATGGAATACTATGCTGCTCTAAAAAGGAAGGAACTCTTACCATTTGCAACGGCATGGATGGAACTGGAGAGCATTATGCTAAGTGAAATAAGCCAGTCGTGAAAGATAAATACCACATAGTCTCACTCATTTGTGGAATATAAAGGACATTATAAACTGTTGTACAAAAATAGATACAGAGGCAAAGAAGCATTGAACAGACTGTCAAACTACAGCAGAAGACAGGGGAGGGTTGGGGGAGTAAGAGATCAACTGAAGGACTTGTATGTACACATATAAGCACAACCAGTGGACACAAGACATGGGGGGGGGAGTTAATGGGGGGAAAAAAGACATATGTACTATTTGTAATACCTTAAATAATAAAATTAAAAACAAAACACAAAGCAGAGTGAATATTCAGGTATGTTTATTCTTCATGGATAGCAGTTAAAACCTTATAACCAATTGTGTAAAAATGAGGAAACAAAAAAAGGAAACAGGGCAGTGAGCAAAGCCCCATTGTCCCACCTGTTACAGCTAAAGCAGAGAGATGCTTTGTGCTCAAGCTAAGGCTCACCATGCAGGCGCAGTTGCATGCATGCATTCATTCATTCAACTGAACTCTGATTATGTGCCAGAGACAGGCCTTGGTACTGGGGGTTAAGTGGTGAGCTAAACGGATGTCTTCTGGAGGTGAGAGACAACCAAATCAAACAAGGGGGCAAATATAAATGCGGTAAAGAAAACAGAACAGTGTTAACACCTGTAGTATACTACCTACTACTGTCAGACTCAAGGGCAATAAATGAAAAGATGAATTAAGCAATGAGGCTCATTTAACTTTGGTCAATAGAAAACAGCAAACTTTGTGTATGATCATGTACATTCTGGTTTTTTGCTGGAAGATTTAAAAACATAATTTTTTTGAAACAGACTTAGAAATAACAGTACAGTCTGATGGCTGCCAGAGGGGAGGAGGGAGAAGGACTGAGTGAAAAAGGTGAAGGGATTAAGAAGTATAAATTGGGCCTGGCATGCGTGGCTCAGTGGTTGGGCTTTGACCTATGAACTGGGAGGTCACTGTTGGCTTGCAGCCTCGATCACCAGTGGCGGATGTGCAGGGGATGGGGTGGAGCGGCTGATTCTCTCTCATCATTGATGTTTCTATTTCTCTCCCTCTCCTTTCCTCTCTCTGAAATCAATAAAAATATGTTAAGAAAAAAAGTACAAATTGGTAGTAACAAAATAGTCATGGGGATGTAAAGTACAGCATAGGTAATATAGTCAGTAATATTGCAATAACTATGTATGGTGCCAGGTGGGTACTGAAAATGTCAGAGTGGGTGGGAACACCACTCTCTAAACTTTAGAGTCTAAAGTATGTGATCATCCAGTCACTATGCTGTACACCTGAAACTTATAAAAATAACATTGAATGTAAATTATAATTGAGAAATAACATTTTAAAAAATATAAGCAGATTATTATTATTTTAAATCCTTACTCAAGGATATGTTTTTACTGATTTAGAGAGAGAGAAGGAATAAGGGGAAGGAGGGAAAAAGGGTGGGGGGAGATGGAGAAGAGGAGGGAGAGAGAGAGAGAAACATCAATGTGAGAAACACTGATCAGTTGCCTCCCATATACACCCTGACCAGGGATGGAACCTGCAACTTGGGTATGTGCCCTGACCAGCAATCAAACCCTTCAGTGCACAGGACAAAACTCTAACCAACTGGGCCACACCAGCAAGGGCAAAAACAGTTAAGACTTCTATTTTGGAGTGAGATTCAGGAATTATAGAATGCCTTCTCTAAGAGTTTGTTATCCACATCTATATATATAAAAGCCTAAGCAACCGAACAATTAAACAACTGGTCGACTGGTTGCTATGATGTGCACCGACCACCAGGGGGCTGACGCTCAATGCAGGAGCTATCTCCTGGTGGTCAGTGCACTCCCACAGCTGGAGTGCCGCTCAGCTGACTGACAGGTGCCAGATGCTGGGCTCAGGGCAGACAAGCACTGGTGGTTCTGCGGCTGTATGAGCCTCTCCCTATCAGGACTGACTGGGCGTGAGCCCACAGCAGAAGCCGTGGGGCCAGAATGAGCGGGAGCAGCAGGCAGGAGTGGCAGTTGTACTGCCGTTTTTGGCCGATCCCCACAGGCTACACTGAGGGACCCACACCGGT